ACCAGGGACCAGGGGGCACGGATGTGTCCAACCTCACCCTGCCCCGGTTCAACCGCACGCAGGCCAGGCTGTGGTGCTGCGTGGAGTGGAACGGGACCAAGCAGCGCGTGGGCATGGCCGAGATCAGGGCGGGCTGTAAGTGCTGCTGCCACGTGTCACCCTCCTCCCCACCCGCGATGGGCACTCGCTCAGGCTCTTCCCCGCCCGCTCTCCCCCAGACCCTCCCGCGAAGCCCCTCAACCTCAGCTGCATCCTGAACCTCGGTGACTACGGGCTGACGTGCCAGTGGGAGCAGGGAGCCGACAGCCACCTCCCCACCAGCGTGGCGCTCAAGTGTGCCGGGTAAGCCTCGAGGCCGCGTCCCCTGCCAAACCCACACCAAGCCTTGTCCCTGGTGGAGGGACCCCGAGCCCACTCCTCTGGCTGCCGCAGGAGCAGAGCCCAGGCGGTGACGGGCTGCACCCCCCGAGGCGGGCACAGCCACTGCACGGTGCCGCGCCCGCTGCTCCAGCTGTACCGGGAAATGGAGATCTGGGTGTCCGTCACCAACGCCCTGGGCACGGCCGAGTCGGAGCGTCTCTGCATCGACCCCATGGACGTGGGTGAGTGACGGCACGGGGGCCAGGGGCCAGGGAAGCTCGTCAGCGGTGACAGGGGTATTAAAGTGCCATTAAGGCACGTGGGGTTTTAGGTCAGATTTCCGGGCGGGTTCCGTGATGGATGTCCTGCCGGGATGAATCGGTGCCAGCGCCGCGTTACGCGAGCAGCGCGTGCGGCGGGTTATGAGCTGCCAGTTGACCTGGTGCACTCCACAGCTCCTCCAGCAATTGATTACCCATTTATTCAGGAGGTCTATTAATAATGGATCTAGTGCCTATAAATTATTTATAAAAGGAGCCTTTCCAGATGGAGCAGCTTATCCTCCTTGCTCTGCGCCCAGGGAAGGACTGCCCAGGAACCAGCTGAGCCCTCCCATGGCTGGGGCATGCACCAGCTCCTGTTCCCTGCCACGAGCTCTTTTCCTAAATTGTTTGAGGTGGTTTCTTGCCATTTCTTGCTGCAGCCCCCCAGCTGCAGCTCCTGGCATTAAGCAGAGACACACGTGAGGCCATGGCCTCTGGCTCTGCCCGCCAAGGCACCTCTCCAGCTCTCTCCTGCTCTTCCTCCAGCCAAGCTGGACCCCCCAAACCTGAGGAACATCCAGTCCATCCCCTTCCAGACCGACTGCGTTGCCCTGGCCTGGGAGGCGGCACGGGGCACGGAGCACATGGAGCTGCAGTGTGAGCTGCGCTACCGGGCACCCGAGGAGCCCGACTGGACGCTGGTGAGTGCAGCTGGGGCAGTGGGACCCTCCCTGTGCTCCGAGCAGTGGGAGCAGCAGGGTGCTCGTGTGGGAGGGGGACAACAAGGTGCCCCTTGCACCCACAGCAGGGCCGGCCCCTGCTTGAGGCAGGAGCCAGCACAGCCCTCACTCTGGCTGCCTCCAGGTGAGTGGCATCGTGGGCCGGGCCGGCACCGCGCAGCACTGCGGCTTCCTCTTCGGCACACGGTACCACTTCCAGATGCGGTGCCGGCGGAGCTCGGCACTGGCCTACTGGAGTGAGTGGAGCCCGGGCAGGAGCTACACCACCCATGAGAAAGGTTGGTGAGGAGTCACCCAGGGGTCCCCTCTGCCCGGGCAGGCAGCACAGTGCTGGGACATGGCCGTGCTGGCCTCTCTCAGCTCCTCCCGCCCTCCTCCTTCTGCAGCCCCCTCAGGGAAGCTGGACACGTGGTGGGGGGCTCGGCCGGCCGGGGCAGGGGGGCGGCTGGAGGTGCAGCTGCGCTGGAAGGTGAGCAGGGATGGGTGGGCACTCGGGCACTGCAGGGGCATCACCCCCGGGACTGAGATCCCCGCGGGGACTGACATCCCCCTGTGCCCAGGCCCCACGGCAGCACGAGGCCAACGGGCGAGTGCTGGGCTACCGTGTGACCCTGAGCCCCAGGAGGAGGGGCAGGGAACCCCCCACCGTCTGCAACACCACCCACACCCACTGCAACTTCTCGGCGCCCGCGGGGACCAGGAGGATCTATCTCTCCGTCTACAATGCTGCAGGAGAGTCAGCAGCAACCGAGGTTGTCCTCCTGGAGAGAAAAGGTGAGAGCAGAGCCCAAAACCTCCATGTGCTCCCCAGGGCTCTGCTCCCCCCAAACGGACTGCCATGGGGTGCACAACCAGGGCGAGGAGCAGGGCTGACTCTGGGGTGGGAGGCACAGTGGGGTGATGCAGGATGCTCCTGTCTCCCATCAACCTGTCCCATGCAGGTGAGCCCCTGGCCGGGCTCTGGGCCGGGCCTGGGGGCAACAGCAGCCTCAGGGTGCACTGGGAGGCACCGCCGGCCCCCGTGGTCGCCTATGTCCTGGAGTGGCAGCGGGTGACGTCGGAGCCCGGGCACTGCAGCGCCTGCTGGCAGATGGAGCATGATGGGGCGGCCACCGCAGCCCTCATCCAGGGTGAGTGGGGTCCCTGCCCTGCCGGGCGGTGCCTGCCCTCCTGGTTGGCTGTCCCAGGGGGCTGACAGCCGTCCTGACCAAACCCAGCCCCGAGCCCGCTCCCACCCTCCCTCCTTCCTCTGGATGCAGTCCCAGGGCAAGGCGGGCTGGCACTGGGGGGCAGGGGCGGCACAGCTGGGGGTCTCAGCAGCAGTGCCCCGAACACACCCCCTGCCCTGCATTGCAGACGGCATCGAGCCCTTCCAGCGCTACAGCATCTCACTGTACCCCCTCTACAAGGACGCCGTCGGGATGCCTGCCCACACCGCAGCCTACTGCCAGCAGAGGGGTACGTGTGCCCCCAGGGCTGCCCAGGGCCCACCACCGGGCCTCTGCCCTTCCAAAACGAGGGACAGGCACTCCCCCCGCAGCACCAGCAGGGGCTGTGCCCAAGGGCTCAGCCTGCAGGGCTGGGTTTGGCTCGTGTCTGAAGGTGTTCTCAGCTGCCCCACAGTGTGGGCAGGGCCTGATGCCCCCACCTCAGGAGTGGGACCCCCCCCACACATACCAGGCCCCACCCAAGGCAGCGGCTCTGCTCAGTGCCCGGTGCCTTGTCCTGCTCCTTCCAGCACCGTCCCATGCCCCAAAGCTCCTCCTGAGGAGCATCAGCAAGTCAGAGGCCGAGCTGTGCTGGGAGCCGCTGCCTGTGGAGATGCAGAACGGCTTCATCACCAACTACACCATCTTCTGGGCCAACAGCGTTGCCGACGTGGCCAGTGAGTCCCACCTGCAGCACCACTGACCCTGCCCTTCATCCTGCCTCGACGTGCTGGGTGTGCACATAGCAGACCCTGTGCCCTCAGAGGGGTCGGGTCTTGCCAGCAGAGACCCAAGGGGCCGTGCGGGGAGGAGGTTCCACCACAGCCCTGTGTGTCCCCAGGTGCCACCGTGAGCCCCTCTGTCAGCTCCTTTGTCATCCGGGGGCTGAGGCCCTCGACCCTGTACAAGGTGCACATCATGGCATCCACGGCTGCCGGCGGCACCAACGGCACCAGCCTGACCCTGGTGACCACAGTGCTTGGTGAGGGGGCAGCCACGTGGGGAGGGGACCCCTAGACCCCTGGTCCTGCCCTGGCCTCACGGCACAGCGCAGCTGACAGCGCCCACCGCAGTTCCCTGTGACCCTGTCCCACTTCCCAGATGACACCGAGATCCAGTTCCTGTTCCTGACCCTGGGGCTGGCCTTTCTCCTGCTCATCCTGTTGCTCATCTGCTTCCAGAAGAATGAGCGGTGAGTACCAGGAGCTCTGTCTGGGCTGGGCTGCCCCGGGAGCCCCTGGACAGGGAGCTGTGACATCCTGCCCTGAGCTTGGCAGGAGCCAGCCCAGCCCCAAGCCCACCCTTCCAGCCCCTGGCTGAGCACCCTCGTCCCTGGTCCCCAGGGTGAAGGAGCAGCTCTGGCCCAGTGTCCCCGACCCTGCCAACAGCAGCCTGGGCAAGTGGGTGCCGGCCGTGCTGCCGCAGGTGAGACCGGGGGGGCTGCTCCCCCAGCCCTGCTCCCCGCCGGGGCACGGCGAGGGCACCGGGCAGGTGGCACCGGGCAGGTGGCACCAGGGGCAGGTGGCACCAGGGGCAGGTGGCACCAGGGGCAGGTGGCACCAGGGGCAGGTGGCACCGGCCGTGACCTCCCGCTGTCCCCAGGAGCCGCTCCTGGTCCCCTCCGCGAAGGAGCCCGGCCCTGCCTCCATCTCCACCGTCACCGTGCTGGAAGGGGCCCCGGGGAAGCCGCCGGGGAAGGAGCCCCCCGGCCCGCCCGCCGCGCCCCCGGCGCTGCCCCGGCCCTACGTGCGGCAGGACGGCCCTGGAGAGCCCGTGCAGTACGCGCGGGTGGGCGGCGCGGGGTACCGGGGGCAGCGGCTGCTCCCCGAGCCCGGGCCCCGCTTCTACGAGAACCTGCGGGGCCGCGGGGACGGCGGCGGGGACTGGGGGGTCCCCGAGGAGCCCCCCGCCACCTTCCCGCTGCTGCAGGGGCTCCGCATCGGCGGGGCCGAGGAGCTGCACGAGTGCCGGGCGGACTAGCGCGGGATGGAGCCGGGCAGCGGCACCGGGAATGCCAGCCGAGACCCGGGATGCGGGACCCACCGCTGGCCGGCTCCATCCCGCGCTGCGTGTCCCCTCCTGCCACCCCTCCGCAATAAACGGGGACGTGCTGAGAGCAACCCGGGCGCCTCTGCTGGACCGGGAAGGGGCTGGGGCTGGGGATGAGGATGGGAACAGCGACGGGGACAGGGAAGAGACCGGGACCAGACAGGGGAGGGGACAGGACAAGGGCTGGGCTGGACCGGGCAGGGGCGGGGACAGGACAAGGGCTGGACCGGGACCGGACCGGGGCGGGGACAGGACAAGGGCTGGACCGGGACCGGGCAGGGGCGGGGACAGGACAAGGGCTGGACCGGGACCGGGCCGGGACAGCACCGGGATGGGGACTGATGCTCCCATCGACGCGCTCGGCGCTCGCTCGCCCCGCCCCGTCTCGGCGCTCTCCCCCGCGCCTGGGCAAGATGGCGGCGCCCACGGCGGGGGCGCTGAGCGCGGCCATGCTGGCCATGCTGGGCCGCGGCGCGGCCGCCGCGCTGGGCAGAGCGCGGCCCGGTGAGGGGCGCGGGGGCCGCGGGACGGGCGGGGAGGGAGGGGGAAGCGGGGCCCGGTGGAGGAACTGCGGAGCGGGCGGCGGGAGCGGAGGGTGCGGGGAAGGGGCGGTCCCGGGGCCTGAGCCCCCCGGCCCCTCAGCCCCCCGTGCAGGCGGGTCAGAGCCTGCGGGGCTGTGCCTGCGAACGCGGTGGAGGAACGGGGCAATAACCCCCGATTGCCGGGGCCCGGAGCAGCAGCGGGAAGAGCGTGTTCCTGGAAGGTCACAGAATAGCCGGTCCAGGCGGTGATGGATGTGTCACGCACAGGTTGTCCCCAGGGCTGAGCTCTGGCACTGGGGGTCCAGAGCAGCCCCTCCACCTCGCTCTTGACGTTACTGGAGTTCATTCATCAGCTTAAACCTTCTCAGTGAGCACATTCCTGCAGGGGAGCCTTCCCTGCAGCCTGTGCTGCTGCTCTGTAACTCTTTGTTTGTCCCCCCAGCCTGCAGCCCCGCTCTGCAGCAAGCCAGGGGCTATGCCAGACCCGTGACGAGGAGGAGGAGAGGTAGGTCAGGGCCCACGGGGCCAAATGCTGTGCCGTTGACGTGCTCAGAGTCGTACCCTCATGGCACAGAAATCATTCCAGAAATAATTCCTTGCTCAGAAGCCATCCAGAAGATTCAGCAGCTCCTGAATGTGGGAAAATCGGTGATTGTCAGTAGTGAGAGTGGGCAGGCCCTGGCACAGGGTGCCCAGAGAAGCTGTGGCTGCCCCATCCCTGGAAGTGCCCCAGGCCAGGTTGGATGGGCCTTGGAGCACCCTGGGCTGGTGGGAGGTGTCCCTGCCCAGGGCAGGGGGTGCGACTGGATGAGCTCTAAGGTCCTTTCCAACCCAAACCTTGCTGTGATCTCTGAGCTCAGTGGACTCTGTAAATCCATGTACACCACCTTGTAAGTCCAGAGTGCTGGAGGGAAGAGACTGAACCTGTTCGATTCACTCAACTCCTGCCAGCTTGGCTGGATCTGTTCAGTTTGGAGCACACAGTTTCCTTTGCAGCATTTTTCCTCTGATCCAGTTTGCCAGCTCAGAGCTCTGGCTCTGTCCTGCTCTTCCTCAAATGTTTGCCTCCTCTTTGTAGACATCCCCAGCCAGCTGGATGACCTCCCTCCCACCATGCTGAAGAAGGACTATGCCAATCTCCCAGTAATGAACAGGTATGGCACAGGGAGAGGGAGTGGCTGTTCTCTCCAGAGCTTTGTGTCTTACACAGACCCACAACATGTGGATGCTGCCACCTGCTCAGTAATTAACTAATTAATGCTCTGTGGGCACAAAAGTTGCAGTCAGTTTGAAAGGCAAATTTACAGACACAGTCAGTGATTAGGGCTGTGGGAGGTCTTTGTTTACTCCATGTGAGAGTAGTGCTCTACTCCATTGTAGAGTAAATGAAAGTTGAGGAAAGTGAGCATGTCCTGAAAACCTGAGCTCGTTTCTTTTGTTAAATAGACTTGATTCTAGCTTGTAAACTAACCTGCCATCTCCTTGCAGCGTGGATGATGTAGTGAGAAGGCTGTTGTCCCTGGAAATGGCAAGTCAGGTCAGTGCCATTCTGCTTGGGTGAAAAAAGTAGATTTAGTGAGCACGACTGTGTGAGACTTGTCTGTGTTGTTCAGTTACTGTATTTTTAAGTGACTGCAAATCTGGGGTGATTAAGTACATGAGAGTGATAATTCTTGTGGCTTCTAGAATTTACCCCCCAGTCTTCTTTAGGATAATAATTGCACATCAAAATGAGAGAAGAAAGTATTCAGCAGTCCCGGGGTGCTGAGCTGTGTTCTGTTGCTGCCAGTGGATCTAGAAACCAGTGCACTGGACAGCAGATATTCTTCAAGCTATTTTTACCTTTGTATGCCCAGCAAACCAAGTAAACAGATAATAAGGTGGCACACAGGTCTCGTCGCTCCTCACTGGTTGTCACTTCAGCTTAAAAGGATGTTAAACCACTGAGTAAAGCCCTTAATTGCAAAGCCTTTGCCTGGGTGTTTGTGGAGAGAGCTGGGTGTCTCTGACCTTTAGTGCTCCTGAGACAGTGACCAGCTCTTTGCTGTGACCCACAGAAGGAGAAGATGAAAATCAAGACGCAGCAGCTGGTGGAGAAGGTCAGGAGGTCTCCCAGCGACAACGGCTCCTTTGAGGTGCAAGGCAAGTTTAAAGCAGGAAGGTTATTGTTGGCAGATGAAACATCCCTGCTTTTATTCCGCTGTTCCCACCCCAGCACTTGCAGTTTGCTGCACAGTTTAGGAGAATCTCCTCCAGGAGAGCCCCCGAGAGGCAGGATGGCCTGCAGGGCTGCTCTGGGAGCACTGCAGAGGCAGTGCATGCTCTCTGGCAGAGGCTGCTGGGGTGCTTCCAAATTCCTGCTCCACATCCACCTTCCAAAGGCAGTGTGTGCATTACTCTGCTTGGAGTGCCCCTGGGACATTGAGCTGCATCTGTTACCAGAATGAAGCAGATTTAGCCATGGAACTCAAATTTCCCTTTGCATCAGAGAGCTGTGGCTGAAGCACGGTGTGGGGACAGTGCAGGGACAAAGGCCACGCTGCACTGACCAAGATGCATCTCCTCCTCATCAGTAAAGCCCTTCAGTTCCTCAGGATGCCACAAGCAACTCTCTCCAGAGCCCGAAATCCCAAAGAGCTGGCCTGGTGCTCTTGGAAAAAAACACCTTTATTGCTTTCTGTTCCTCCAGAGCTTGAACCACAGGGGGTGAAATGAATGTAAAGTCACTGGGAATTGAGTGCAAGAGGAGTTTCACAGATAAATTTATCCGATCTGTCGTTAAAATTTTCCCTTCTAATTAAGCAGCCTCTTAGCAGTCACAGCTCTGCAGGCTGTGTGTTGTGGTTTGGTGGGCAGTGTCTGTGTGGTGCTGTGGGTCCCTCAGGAGCAGCAGTGCTCAGCTGGCAGCTGCAGGGAAGGCAGATGATCCTGGGTCCCCTGGGAAGGCTGCTGCTCTCACAGCCCGCTCTGTTCTCCACAGTTGCAATTCTGACTGCCAGGATCCGCATGTTCGAGGAGCACCTCCAGAGGCACCCCAAGGTAACTCGGGCATCTGAGCCCACTCGCAGCAGCTGCTCCGGTGGTTCTCTTAGTTTAGAAGAAAAGGATTTTAATTCTAGGCTTTGTGGCTTTCCTGAGGAGGTTTATGGAACAGTTCCAGCTGTTCCTGGTGCCAGTGTGGGGAGCTGCTGGCTCAGGCACAGCCGGATCCTCACCGGCTCGGTGTGGAGGGTGTTCAGGTTTGTTCCTGCTGGAGGAAATGGCTGAGCAGATTGCTTTGGGCAGAGCTGAGCTCCATTTCTCCTCCCTGCAGATGTGGCTCCACTGCTTAGTTTTCACTGATTCATGTGCCACTGCAGCAGCTGCAGTGAGAGGCAAAGAGCAAAGTCTCTCCTGGTGCTGCTCACAGAAACATTTGGTGGACAGGACTGTGTGAATGTCCCAACAGCCACTTCCCTGCCTGCAGCTACCTGGGTTCGGGCCCAAACCTGAAACCTCACAGCTGAGTTTATGAATAAAAGTTACTAAAGGTTCTTTATGCAGGGCAAAAGGTGGGAAGTGAATTAACAAGTGCGTAATTGTTTGTTAATTGTGAAAACTTGAAGGGTAAAACAGAACAGAATTCAGCTTTTATTAAGAGCCAGAAGCTGTACCAAGTGTTCCAGCAAAGAGACCTTTTAGACTTCCTTGGCCGGAGCCTGTGCTTTACACAGGTCACTCCTATAGGGCAGGGAGGTGTCTCCCATGAGGGATTGCCCTGAGTGGTGTGGCTGAGGCTGCACGCATTCCCTTCCAGAGAACAACCAGACAGTCAGACAGAGCCAAGTCATGGGTTATTTTCACATTTGATTTCTGGCAAAACGAAGGTAAATGCCTCTGTGTTATTCTGGAGCAGTACACTTCAGGGGCAGCAGGTTTTAGCCAGCAGACCTTCCCTGCAGCTTTTGCCACCACCTGAAACTGCACGAGCTGAAAACAGTGTTTGGGGTCAAGGAGGAAGGGGAACGTGCAGCCAGGGAACGGAGAAAGCAATTCCAGTGCAAAGTAAATGAAATCTTCCTGGATCTCCCTGTACTGACCCGACACACTCACAGTATCTGCCAGGAAAAGCCATTCTGAGGGCCCATCCTTAACGTGGTTATTCCCTTTCAGCCCGACTGTGGTCTGTTCTCTGTAATTTGCTGGGATGGCAGGGCGATCTGCCTGCAGGCCAGTGAGCCCTGGGTGCTTTGCAGGACAAGAACAACCGTCGGCGGATGCTGATGGACGTGGACAAGCGGAAGAAGCTGCTGGGGTACCTGCGGCGGGTGCGCTACGACACCTTCGAGAACACCTGCCAGCAGCTGGGCATCCAGTACAGCCTCCCCGCGCCCTACACGCGGCGCGTCACCAAGCGCTGGCTGGTGAAGAAGGCCTTCTGCGTCAAGGTACGGGCTGCAGAGAGGGCACAGTTAGGACAGAAACCACTGATCTCATCACAGAGTCCTAATCCAGGCTTTGGGGTTGAGAATGTCGGTAGGGAACTGCCTAAGCCCAGCCGAGAGCTCCACGGGGGGCGGTTGTGTCATGGCGTTGAACACGTGTGCTGTGTTCAAGCCCTCCGGGCCGCGCTACTGCTCTGCTCGAAAAAAATGCATTTTTCAAACCAGCTTTTTTTTTTTTATCCCTGAAAGCCCCACGTGGGAATCGGAGCAGCAGGCTGCATGCGGGCAGCAGCTCCATCAACCCCCTGCCCCCCGCTTGTTTTTTTTTCCTCCCACAGGTGTTCCAGGAGGCGCGGAAGCTGAAAGCGGCGGAGAGGATGAAACAGAGGAGGGAGCGGCAGGCGAGAGGCAGGGCGGGGCAGGGGCAGGAGAAGGTGGCACAGGAGAAGCCAACACCGGAGGGGACTCCCGTCTAACAACACAGCCACTCTGACAATAAAAACACTCAAAGAACCAGAAGGGGGACTCCGTGCTCATGTGCGGGCGCGCCGGGATGAGCACCCGGGGGATCGGGGTGGGGGGGTATTGTTCGCGTGGTTTGGACGTTTAATTCCGGGATGGTCCCAGGGGATGCGTGGCCGCCGGGATGGTCCCGGTGGATGCGTGGCCGCCCCCGCCGCCGCCCGGTAACCGCGCCCCGCCGCAACCGCGCGCACGCGCGGTTGCGGCGGGCGCGGACCAGGCGGCGGCGGCGGCGGTGGCGACAGCGGGGACATCGAGTCTGGGACAGCGGGGACAGCGGGGACAGCGGCTATGTCGGCCCGGACGCTTCCTCTGCTGTTCCTCAACCTGGGCGGGGAGATGCTCTACATCCTGGACCAGCGGCTGCGCGCCCAGAGCATCCCGGGCGACAAGGCGCGCAAAGGTGGGGGTGATCCGCTCCCGCTCCGCTCCCGGCTCCCGGGATGCCGCCCCGTTACGGTGGCGGTGGTTAATTAATTAATTAATGTCGCGGTAATTAAACCCCTCGGTGTGTCCGCGCTGCCCGGCCGTGGCGGGCTCTGGGGAAGTTTTTTTGGGGATCACCCCCAAGGTGCTGCCGGGGCTGGTTTGGGAGATCCTCGCAGGGAAGCAGGGATTAAAGCCCCACTCGGGGCTTCTGGGCTTGGTTTTTGGGGGGGTTAAAGCTTCAGAAAGGTGCTCTGGGGGGCTCGAAATAACTCAGGGTCTGGTGATGCCAGCCCGGGTCATGAACTGTGCGCTTCGCAACGGGAAGGAGTTTCCGGGGATAAATTTGTGAAGCCTGCGCAGAAGCAGCACACGAAATTGTGTTGGAATTCAAATATAACACGAGCGCGGCTCCTGAAGCCCTTGTCTGGTTTTGCTTGATCTCTCAAGCAAAACCTCAATCCCTGTGCAGCCCTGTGCCTTCATGCGTGGCACCAAACTCCAGCTCACAGCCCCAACTCCTCTTTGTTTTCCACTTTAAATTACTGCAGCTTTGCTTTACAGCTCCTTGCAGCTCCCTGTCGTGGGATGGGGAAAGTGCCTGGGGAAGCTTTAGGATGTTTTAATGAAAAACCAACTTGATTTGAGCCCGGTATTGAAGAGATTGTTATGTTTATCCCTTCTGCCTGTCCTGTATGAAGTGCCAAACAACAAAGGGTTCAATGTTTAATTATCATATTATTGTGAGGGGGCAATTTGTAATTATTTATTTATTTATGGTGTGTCCTGAGAGAACGATCTGACAAAAGTTTACTGCTGTTCATACAGGGCTGAGTTTAGAGTTCAAACTAAATTACATCTCAGCAGGAGAATTGGATCTGTTCCAGTTTATCCACATGTGGATATTTATCTTCCAAAAAACTGAGTGGTAATTTCACTGAGATGTGGTTCGTCCACACCGAAATGTTTGTTAATGCTTAAAGCTGTTCACTCAAATATTGTTCACTGAAAATACAACTGAAAACTTCCCAAGCTCTATGCAAAGGGTAAAATTTGACGTGCATTGAAGCAGCAGGATTTTATCCAGGGGGAGGGCAGGATTCTCCAGTGCTACATGCTGATGAGAAGAGACAAAATCCATTCATTAGCTTTTCTATTTTTTTTCTTTTTTTTTTTTTTTTAGTTTATTTCTTTTCTTCTCCTTGCAACTCTTGTTCTTACGTCTCGAATGATGTTTTGTTTTATATGCTTCGTGTAGATGAATGGACAGATGTGGACAGGAAACGAGGTACAGTAACTGCTGGCTGCATGCACCAGTCCAACCCCACGTGCTCACCTGGGGCTCGTCCTGCCTGACCCCCCAGGCTGCTCCTGCAGCCTTCAGGCAGTGTCACACATGGACAGGAATGCTCACCTGGGCCTTAAAATGCACCCTGTAGATCTGAGAGAAAGCAGGCAGCATCCCGAAATCATAGGGCCTCAAAAACCGGTGGTTGGTTTAACAGAGACTGTAAATGAATCAAAACTTGTTATCTGAATGGCCTTTCCTGTCAAAATAATTTGTGTTTCTCTGGCATGGTTTTGATGCAAGCATGTAATCGTGTGAGCATTGTGGAGGTTGTTTGTCTGCTGAAATGCAGGAATGTTGGGGAAGCTCCGTTCTCCTAAGGCCTTTTCTAACTCGCTGCTCGGGGTCTGGACAGCTGAACTCCAGGGAGGGTTGAAGGCACTCCAGCCCTGCCTGCTCGCAGGCTGTGCTGGTGCTCACAGCTGGCAGGGTGAGCCCAAAGGAGCAGGTGCCCAGACCCCAGCCCAGCTCCTCCTGACTGGAATGATCCCGGGCTGGGGTTGAGCCCTCGGGTGTTGCAGGGGAGCAGCTGAGCTGGGAACACCTTTCCCTCGGGAACCTGCCTGGAACAGGAGCCTCCAGCAAGGGCTGTGCTGAAGGGCTGGGGGAGGAGATGAACCTCCTGAATCTCAGGTTTTTGCTCAGTGAGCACGAGCAGAACTTCCAGTGGCCTTCTGAGCAGCCCTTTCTTACGAGAGATCAGGGTTATGGTTCACCTTTTTCAGAATAAGCATCGTTGGCAGGGTTTAATGTTTACTGCAGGTAAGCACTGATGCCCTGGAGTTTGTCCCAGCTTGTTTTTGCTACCATTGCATCCTGTTTCCAAGAACACCCTTTTCCAGCCTTTAATATCTCAGAAGTTGTTCCATGTTATCCCATCCAGCGCAGTGAGGGGTTGCCTGGTTGGCTTTTCTGGTTTCCCTCCTGCCCCCCCAGTCGGTGCCCCCCTCTCTGCTCAGCTGCTTTCTGCTGTGTTGTTTGTGCCATGTCCCCAGGCCAGCTCCCCATTGTCCCCTGCCAGGGCCACACTGGTGTGTGCAGCTCCCCAGGCCCTCCCCGTGTCATCACTGAACACCTGACAGATTTATTGTCAAACTGTGGGAGATTTGCCCTTCACCGGGATTTTTTTATGTCTTTCTCAGTTCTTTTTATAGCCCACACAAGAGGTTTTAATTCCAGGAGATAATTTATGTCAGACTGGGTGTGTGGTTCACACAGAGCTTCAATTCCACGGAAAAATCACCGTACTGGGAGGTGTCTGTCTCCTGGTGGTGTTTTGGGTTATTTGTGACTCTGCAAAGACAGGAGGAGCCTTTGTGTGGGCAGCACACACAGGCAGCTTAAAAATACTTTCCTTGATAGCAGTATGAGGCTAAAGTTCTGATTTTTGTCAGAATTGACTCCCTGCAAAATGAAATAGATACTAATAATATTTGATTTTCTCCCTGAAATAGTGGGGGTTTCTGCCTCAGATTGCAAGTAGGGATCGCTTTTATGGACAGTTTATTTGAAAGGAACGGAGGAAGGAGGGATTTTTTTTTCCTGTTTGTGTTTAGGTGCATTTATAATCCACTGCTCAGACACTTTTGGGTACTTAAACCTGGACTGGGGAGCCCTGTCAGCTGCTGTGTGACCAGGCAGGAGGAACCTGTAACCAGCAGGTTTAGGGAGGACAGAGAAACATCCCAGGAGGCCCCTGCCCTCCCAGCTGTCCCTGCCCAGGCTCCCAGCATTCCCAGCAACGTTCCCAAGGAGTTAATCCTGTCAGGAAGAGGTGGAGTGACAGGGACATGACCTTTCATTTGGCTCTTGGTGTAGGACAGGTGTGAAAAGCCATGTGTCTGACCCCCCAGAGAATTGTTAGGGCAGCAGTTCAAAGCACTGATCACCACCACTATCTCTGTGTTCAATTTTTCTCTTTTTTCCTTTTCATTACTTATTCTGAGGTTTTTCTAATCCAGAAAGATTGTCTGGCATTGTGGGCTTCAGTAACAGTCACCTGCTTAGGAAGATCCATTCTTGTCCAGTAATCTGTGTGACCTGGCATTTTCATTTACCATTCTTTTGGTAGAGAAATAAATGTTTATTGGTGATAACTCTGTAGAGTCTATCAGGGAGATCATAAAATATCCAATCCAGCACAAAAGCTCATCTGCTTGAACCAGTGCAAAATGTTTTCCATCTTCTGTGCATTAAAAGCTGGATATCCAGAGCACAGCCCTCACACTCAGCACTCCTGGGCCCTACAAACTCTTCAGTAAGTCACAAAACTGTTCCAGGTCTAAATCTGCACATAAAAAAATGAACCACCCATAAGGAGGTTTGGAATTCTGCCTTTCAGCCACTCCAGTGCCTGCAGGTGTTACAGCTGTGAGAGCCCTGAATGGGCTGACATAGAACCCAGGGATATAAATGCTTCCTTAAATACCTGCCAGTTTTAATCCGTTTGGAATAAAGACTGCAGAGAGCCCTGAGTCATCCAGGAGCTTCTGTGGAGAGAGAAAAGACTGACAGGGTCAGAGGGGAACAGGCACAGCCAGTCTGCAGAGCTCAAGAGTGATGCAGAACAGTTTCCTTAGGAGGCAGAACTGGAGCTCTTCTAGATAATAACATGTCAGAGCAGCCTAGAAACGACATTATTTACAAGTGAGAAGTACCAAGCACAGCTGTAATGCCAGGGCAGCACAGCCAGCCTTATTCCCACTGGGAAGCAGGGACTGCTGCCTTCGGCTCAGGTGGTTTGTGCCCTGGGGAGCATCAGCAGGCTCAGCCTGGGCAGGGTGTTGGACTGGGAGGGGCTGTTTGTTCCCTCTCCTGGGATCTGTCCCTGCTCCTGCAGCTCCCGTGGGAGCCCTCAGTGACCCCAGGGCTGGGCTGCTGGGACCCAAACAACGGGGCCTCCTTGTCTTTGCAGTGATGAACGACATCATCAGCACCATGTTCAACAGGAAGTTCATGGAGGAGCTGTTCAAGCCCCAGGAATTGTATTCCAAGAAGGCCCTGAGGACGGTGTACGACCGGCTGGCCCACGCCTCCATCATGAGGCTGAACCAGGCCAGCATGGACAAGGTAACCCCCCCTCCTGGCTGTGCTTCCCTCACCAGGGAGGTGGGAGTGGGATTGCCCTTCACATGGGTGTCAGGGCTGCTGAAATTCATGGAATCATTGAGGCTGGAAAAGCCCTCGCAGCCCATGGATCCCCCTGTGCCCCATCCCCATCCTGTCCCCCAGCCCAGAGCACTGAGTGCCACCTCCAATCCTTCCTGGGACTCCTCCAGTGCTGGGGACTCCAAACCTCCCTGGGCAGCCCCTGCCAAGGCCTGACCACCCTTTCCATGAGAAATTCCTCCTGATGTCCCCCCTGCCCCTCCCCTGGCACAGCTGAGGCCGTTCCCTCTCCTCCTGTCCCTGTTCCCTGGGAGCAGAGCCCGACCCCCACCCCCGGCTCCCCCCTCCTGTCAAGGATTGCAGAGCCAGAAGGTCCCCCCTGAGCCTCCTTTTCTGCAGGCTGAGCCCCCCCAGCTCCCTCAGTTCTCCTGGTGCTCCAGCCCCTTCCCAGCTCTGTTCCCTTCTCTGGCAGCTCTACGACCTCATGACCATGGCCTTCAAGTACCAAGTGCTGCTGTGCCCTCGGCCCAGGGACATTCTGCTGGTCACGTTCAACCACCTGGATGCCATCAAGGATTTCATCTACGAGTCCCCTGGCATTCTGAACCAGGTGGACGAGACCTTCCGGCAGCTGATCGAAGTAAGAACGCTCAGAAAAAGGGTGGGACACACCTTGGTTTGATTTTATGGGTTTTTACCTCTTTCAAGTTAAATACTAAATACTGCACTGTACATGTCCGTGAGTCAAGTGGTATTTTGCTACTGGACCAGTTTAAATCAATATATTGCTTATTCAGCCTCATTTAAGTCTGCACTGACTTCAGCAGAAATTAAATCAGGCTTTTAGTCACAGGCATAATTACTGATAATGACCAGCAGCCCCCTTACAGCATCTCTGCTTCCCCTGCTAGTGGACCAGAATACACTGTATGTTCTGTGTGTCAGAATATCCTGAGGCACTGGTTTCCCCCTTTCCCTGGGTGGGACATGGAGCTCTTGCAAAGCCTCGTGTGATGGTTTTCCTTTTCCAGACATACAACTGTCTCTCTGATGGTGAATTCCAGCTCATCAGGCAAACGCTCCTCATTTTCTTTCAGGACATGCACATCAGGGTAAGAGCCCAGTTAAACTGGCAGGGAGAATGACAGGGAGTTGGGGCTGGAATACAGAGGGATTTGGTTATAAACACTGCAGGTTTGGGTTTGTGACTTGTGCTTTTCAGTCGATGTGCTCGTAATTGCACTCAAATTTCACAAATGGATCTACTGCAATAACACTGAATAATTCTAATATGTTATGAAAAAGGGAATCTCTACTAGGTATGATTTGCTAGTTGATAAATCTGTTTTTTCTTTTAGAAAGTTAATATGAAACTCAGAGCCTGAGCTTGAAACCTCGATATTCTCTAAGTAAACTGGTCACACTTGAGTGCATAAACACGGCATACTTTTTAATATAATTTTTTTAATCTTAGATCAGTTCCCACCCTCTGAAACACAGTTCCACACTGCTGGCTTCGTGTCCCGGTCTCTGCACAGGCATCCAAGCCTCCCCCAGGCTGGGCAGGGAGGCCCCAGCTCAGGCTCTGAGCAGTGGGGTCAGAGGGCTGGCTTTGCCCAGGCGTGCTCTCCTCTTGCAGGTCTCCATCTTCCTGAAGGACAAGGTGCAGAACTCCAACGGCCGCTTCGCTCTGCCCACCTCGGGGCCCGTGCCCTGGGGCACAGAGGTGCCAGGGCTCATCAGGTGAGTGGGGGCCCCTCCAAGTGCCATTCCTGGGGCACGGAGAGCTGGGCTCCAGTAAAATGCTCTTTAAAGGGCATGACCTGGGACTAAGTCACCCAGCAGTGAAATGCTGAGCTGCTTCTGGAATTCTCCATCCCGGTAAATGAGCTATTAGTAATTTATCCAGTAAAAGATGGATTTGCCAAGGTACAGAATAGGGTTTTAGTCCCCTCGTGTGGGAAGCAGAGGAAGTAGGGACTGAAAATCGGGAATAAAACAACTAAATGTTTCGATAATGCCTTGGTTTTAAGGATTTTCAATCAGAAAGGAGTGGAAGTTAAAAGGACTGAGTTCACCACTGCTGGGAATTACGTTACTCCCCAAAGGGAAGGATCCTTTGAGCTTTATGGAGACAGAGTCCTCAAACTTGGAACAAATATGTAAGTAATTTTTGTCCTGTGTAGAAACCTGAACCAAATGCTGATGATGTGGGTTGTTGAGAAGCTGTGTGGTTTTGCCTCTTTTGCCATTATCAGCCTGACTGTGTTACAAGGGGGCAGTGAGCATAAAGAGCTGTGGGAAAGAGCAAAACTTGGGTTTATGTCTCCAGCAGAGCTGAGTAAAGAGAGTTCTCACCTGGTGCTGCATAGTATGTGAAATGTGATTTAATTGAACCACTTTCAAGAAATCCGTGGAATTCTCCATGTTTTAACACACGTTTTCCATCCAAAGAGAGATCGCTGTTCCCTCTCACAGCTTTGTCCCCCCCACACTGCACCAGCCTGAGCTGTAACTCCTCATTGCAGCCGTTCAGAGTCTTCACAAAAATGCCCTGCAGTCCTGGATCCTGTGCTGCTCCCTGCAGTTACTGTCCTGAACCCCAGTAATCTCTTCCCTGTGTGTTTTCCCTCCAGGTACAGTGTGAGTCGGCCAGTGGAGACACACGTGGCAGGATCATCCAAAAACTTGGCATCCCGTGCAAAGGTCAGTGTTGTCATGGTCCTGTCACTGGTTGAGCTGGCCAACTTCTCTGGGGTACCTTCAAGGAAGCCCCTCTTTGTCCTCAGAGCCTCATCCAGTCCTTCCAGCTCCCTTTGGAGTCAGGGGAAGGGCACATTTTCCCAAGCAATCCACAGGCTTATGCAGGGATGTGCTTGCTTCTCTTTTAATCTCCTCAGAAAACAAAGCTGGATTTGCAGATTTCTCAGCTGTTCAATTTAGCTGGAAAATTACCTTGTCCTGGGACTGTAAATTCAAGCAGCCACTTCCAGTATGAGTCTGGTGGTTACTGGTTATGTGCACAGCCTGTCCCAGGAACAACACAGGAGTGTGTTTACCTGCCTCTGAAGAACATTTATGGGATATCAGGGAACAAAACTCCTTGCAGGCCCCATCTCCCTGGTAACTGCCCAGTGGGCCCGTTGCTGTTTCCTGCAGGAGAGCACAGTGCCCAACCCTCTTGCCAAGGAGGAGCTGAACTTCCTGGCCCGGCTGCTGGGGGGTCTGGACATCCAGAAACCTGCTGGTGGCGAGGCGGGCTTTCGGCTGAATTTGTTCACGACCGACGAGGAGGAGGAGTGAGTTCTTGTCCTGCTTGGTTTGGGGGCTGGGGGCCACGTGGGGAGCCCTCCACAGCTTTAGGGACAGCCCAGCAGGGTTTAGCCCTCTTGCTGTGCTCCAGGAGCCTCCTGTGCCCTGCTGGCAGTGCCACTTGGCTCCAAGCCCTGTTCCACCTGGCCCTGTAGACTTCCTCTGGGCATCCTGCGGGCCTACAGGAGCCTCATGAAACCTGATTTTTGTCATTGCCTTGTGTTGTTCATGGGATTAACCCCCCTTTTCATGTTTTCCGTCCAGACACGCTGCACAGACCCGGCCAGAGGACTTGTCCTACAAGGTCATCAACATTGAAGCCGCACAGGTACGTTCCGTGTCTCCCTCCGCTGGTTCTCACCGCTCCTGCCTTGCCGAATTTCACCCAGATCAGTGACTTACAAGTAGATTTTTTCCCATTTCACTTCAGTAACGTTAAGTTACACTGAGTAACTGATGGCCGATTTTCTGCCCGGCCGGTGGAACTGGTGATTGTTTACCAAGAGAACTCGGATCAGGGCAGGTTGGTGGGGGCTGAGCACGGCGTGTGTGTCCCGCAGGAGCCGGCCCGGCGGGAGGAGCTGTCCCGCATCCTGGGCGAGCTGGAGGTGGCCGAGCCGCGCCCGGACAGCGCCGGCAAGGGCGAGGACCTGCTGGCCCTGATGGATGGGCTGTGACTGGGACACAGCGGGACAGCCGCAGGACACACTGGGAGAGCCTTGGGACATACCAAGACAGCTCTGGGACATACCAGGACAGCCCCGGGACACAGCGGGACAGCCCCAGGACACACCAGGACATACCAGGACACAGCGGGACAGCCCCAGGACACACCAGGACATACTGGGACACACCGGGACAGCCCTGGGACATGCTGGGAGAGCCTTGGGACACACCGAGACAGCTCTGGGACATACTGGGACACACCAGGATACATCGGAACAGCCCCAGGACACACTGGGACACACCAGGACAGCCCTGGGACATACTGGGAGACACCGGGACAGCCCCGGGAGCACCGGGCGGGGCGCGGGGCTCGTTGGCCCCGCCCCTTCCTGGCGCGGGGCGGGGCCGCGCGTGCGCAGGGGGTGGGGCGGCGCGGGCGAGCGCGCGGGAAGGGGCGCGTGAGTGTGCGGGGAGCGCGCGGGGTGGGGGGACACGGGAGGGACACGGGACCCCCGGTGTGACGGGATGGGGATGGGGACACAGGACCCCCGGTGTGACGGGATGGGGGACACGGGACCCCGGGTGTGACGGGATGGGGGACACGGACCCCGTGTGACACGGATGGGGGACACGGGACCCCGGGATGGGAGACACGGGATCCCCGGTGTGACGGAGATGGGGGTGGGGGACACGGGACCCCCGGTGTGACGTAGGATGGGGGGGACACGGGACCCCTGGTGTGACGGGATGGGGGACACGGACCCCTGGTGTGACGGGATGGGGGGACACGGGACCCCCGGTGTGACGGGATGGGGATGGGGACACGGGACCCCCGGTGTGACGGGATGGGGATGGGGGACACGGGACCCCCGGTGTGACGGGATGGGGATGGGGGACACGGGACCCCCGGGGTGACGGGATGGGGGGACACGGGATCCCCGGGGTGACGGGATGGGGGGACACAGGATCCCCAGGGTGACAGGATGGGGGGACACGGGACCCCCGGTGTGACGGGATGGGGATGGGGACGCAGGACCCCCGGTGTGACGGGATGGGGGATGCGGGACCCCAGGGTGACAGGATGGGGGGGATACAGGACCCCGGGGTGACGGGGATGGGGGGACACGGGACCCCGGGAGTGACGGGATGGGGGGACACGGGAGGGACACGGGACCCCATGCGGTGACGGGATGGGGGACACAGGACCCCGGTGACGGGATGGGGGGACATGGGACCCCCGGGGTGACGGGATGGGGGGGGACACGGAGAGAATGGGGGTGACCCGGGAGGGGATGTGTGTGTGCGTGGGTGTGGGTGTGTAGGTGAGAGTGCACGGGGGGCGCGGAGGAGCCCAGCGTGCAAGGGTCAGGGGCTGGGGAGAGGGGCAGCGTGCGAGGAGGGGGTGAGGGCAGAGGAGAGGGCTGGTCCATGTGCAGATGAACGTGAGAGGTGGTGGTGTGTGTGTGTGTGCACGCGAGAGTTTGAGTGCGAGGGGTGTGGGAATGCAGGAATGTGCCACCCATTTGAGCGGGAAAGGGGTGGTACACGTGCGGGTAGGTGTGTCACGGGTGGGACCTGTGCAGGTGTGGGGTGTGCTGGGCGGGCGTGGGGGCGCAGCGTGCCCTGTTCCCTCAGCGCCGTCCCCCCAGCCGCCATGGAGGTGAGCCACTCGCTGACGGAGCGCACGATCGCCGAGAACAGCCTGGTGATCCTGCTGCAGGGGCTGCGGGGCCGCGTCACCACGGTGGAGCTGCGCGACGAGAGCGCGGCCGCGGGGCTGGTCACCGGCGTGGACGCCTTCATGAACGTGCGCCTGGCCGAGGTGACGCTGACGGACCGGCACGGCGCCGTGAGCCGCCTGGAGCAGCTCTTCGTCAGCGGCAGGAACGTGCGCTACGTGCACATCCCCGACGGCGTGGACATCAGGGCCACCATCGAGGAGCAGCTCCAGGCCATCCAGAGGGTGCGCTCCTTCGGGGCCCAGGACAGGGGCCGCAGGGAGTACCTTCCGGCCAAGGACAAGGGAGGGGGAAGCGCAAAGATGGGAAGCGCAAAGATGGACTCCAGTGAACCTGCCCCTTCCGTGGACTGACGCCCAGACACCCCGCGCAAGGACATCCCCCCAGGGACTCGGGGCTCTGCTGCTCCCAGGGCTGGTGCCTGCGGAGGAGCAGGGACAGTTTTTGTAATGATTGAGCCAAAATAATCCTGTTTAAAAGGCTCCTTCGTCTCTCTCTGCTCGCGTCCCTCCTCTCATGTCCAATGGGCCCTTCGGCCAGAGCTGCCATCCCGCTGCCACCCCCAGCTCGGCCCTTCCCTGCCCGCGGGGGCTCCAGCCCGGGTGCCCCAGCATGAGGGATCCCCATTCAGAGGGTTCCAGCCCGGGGTGCCCCAGCATGGGGGTTCCTCATTCAGAGGGTTCCAGCCCGGTGTACCCCAGCATGGGGGTTCCTCATTCAGAGGGTTCCAGCCCGGCATGCCCCAGCATGGGGGGGTCTGCATTTGGGGGGTTCCAGCCCGGGATGCCCCAGCATGGGGGGTCCTCATTTGGGGGTTCCAGCCCAGTGTGCCCCAGCATGGGGGGTCCCCATTCAGAGGTTCCAGCCCGGGGTACCCCAGCATGCGGGGTCCGCATTCAGAGGGTTCCAGCCCAGGGTGCCCCAGCATGGGGGGTCCCCATTCAGAGGGTTCCAGCCCGGGGTACCCCAGCATGCGGGGTCCGCATTCCGGGGGTGCCGGTCCGGGGGGCTTCTGTGGGCGTGGCCAGCGCGCCAGGCCCCGCCCCTCCGCCAATAAGCGCGTTCGAATCTCCCGCGTGCCCTCCGGTCCCTCGCGCCAATCAGCGACGGGCTCCTCGCGCCGCAGCCAATCAGCCTTCGCTGCTGCCTTCCTGCTGCGTGCGCCCCAACCAATCAGAGCCCGTCGCAAAGCCCCGGCCCGGCCTCCGCGCTCTGTCCAATCACAGCCCGGGTCTTCCCCACCGGCCAATCAGCGCCGGGACTGCCCCGGCCTGGCGGTGGCCGGCAGGGGACGGGCTGGGCTGGGCGTGGCGTCACTTCCGGTGCCAGGCGGGCCCCGGAGCGGAGCGAGGCCGGGCCGGGCCGGGCCCGGGGCCATGGGTGAGTGGGAATGGGAATGGGAACGGGAACAATGGGAACAATGGGAACAATGGGAACGGGAATGGGAACAATGGGAACAATGGGAACGGGAACAATGGGAATGGGAACAACGGGAATGCGAATGGGAACAACGGGGACGGGGCCATGGGTGAGTGAGGGGAACGGGAACAACAGGAATGGGAACAACGGGAATGGGAACGGGGCCATGGGTGAGTGAGGGGAACGGGAACGGGACCATGGGGGACTGAGGGAGTGACTGAGGGGAACAGGAACCTGCCCCAGGGGCTGAACCCGTTGAGCTCCCCGGGGGCTGAGGGATCTCCCGCACGCAGAGCCCGCTCTTGGTCCCTGCTGGTCCCTGCTGGTCTCTGCTGGTCCCTGCTGGTCTCTGCTGGTCCTTGCTGGTCCCTGGTGGTCCCTGGTGGTCTCTGCCGGTCCCTGGTGGTCCCTGCCGGTCCCTGCTCTCTCCTGTGCAGGCCCTGAGGCTGTTCGGGCTCTCCCTGGTGGGGGAGCCGTGGGGTGCCCTGGCCTGGCTGTGGGGGGATGTCCTGCACTGGGGTTGGGGGTTCAGTGCTTTGAGGAGCCTTTGAGAGCTGGAGGCGTGGGTTTCACACACCCTGCTGTGCTGGGGGTCGCGCTGCATCCTTTGGCTGTGTGTCTGTGGTGTCAGTGCCGAGGGGTCGGTCACAGCACCGTGTGCCCTAAAAGCAGAGCTCAGCTGGGGCTGATCCTCGGGATGTCCCGGAGCTGTGTCCGTGGAGCAGGCACCGAGCTGTGCTGTCCAAGGACAGGGAGCTGCTGGAGAAGTGCAGAGGAGGCACCAAGGTGATCAGAGGGCTGGAGCAGCTCTGCTGGAGGAAAGGCTGGGAGAGGTGGGATTGTTCAACCTGAAGAGAAGCTTTAGGGTGAACTAATTGTGGCCTTCTGGTGTCTGAATGAGCTGACAAGAAAGATGGAGAGAGACTATTGACGAGGGCCTGGGGTGACAGGACAAGGAGGCATGGCTTCCCACTGACAGAAGGTGGGTTTAGATTAGATATTGGGAAGAGATTCCCAAGGCACAGGTTGCTCAGAGAACCTGTGGCTGCCACATCTCTAGAAGTGTCCAAGGCCAGGTTGGATGGGGCTTGGAGCAACCTGGGCTGGTGGAAGGTGTCCCTGCCTGTGGCAGGGGGTGGAGTGGAATGGTCTTTAAGCTCCCTTCCAACCCAGACCATCCTGGGGTGCCTGAGCTGCCCACCCTGCACAGAGGGAATAAGGGGGTGTTACCAGTGCAGATATCCTGGCTGTTCCGCTGTGCCTCTCTCCTGCCCCGGAGCTCCAGCTGGAAGCTCTTGCTGGGCAGAGCTCTGTGTGCCCGTGGTCATTTCCTGCGTGAAACGCCTGTCTTTGGTGGGTGTTTTGGGTGAGCCTGTCGGTGTGTGCTGTCACACTGCAAACCCCAGCTGGCCTGGCACTGTGTGCAGGGAACTCCAATCCGCTCCTCTGCAGTCAGGGCCAGGTGAGTCACTGCTGGGAGGAGCCGGGGCCGCACCTGGCTGGGAGGTGTCAGCACGTGTGCGGGTCACACCTCGCGGGGCACAGCGCTCTGCTGCAGGGGCTGTGGCACAGCGGGGTGACACGAGCAATGAGGGACAAATAAAACCTCGGGATGCACCACACCCCTCCCCTGCTGGGGTCTGGAGGGGGAGCACAGCCTGGCACGGGAGCAGCCCGTGGCTGGGGACTGCACTGGGGCAGCGGCTCAGCCTCGGGTGCTGCAGCCACGGTTCCAGTGCTGGGAGGGTGCTGGGCTGGAGCAGGGATTTCTCCCGGGGCATGTGGCCTGTGCCGCAGCATGAAAGGGTTAAGCTGAGGTTGGTGTTTATGTAACCAAAGAGGGAACTCCCAGAGATGAGTCCTTGGCTATCTCATGTGTTGATGCATCAGAAGGGCTTGAAGAAAGCCCGGCTTGTTGCTTGCGCTGAAATTACGTACTGGAAGCCTGTGCTTCAGAGTTTCCCCGGCTGCCTGCGGGGAGCTGGGCTGGAATTTGCTTTCCCCATGTGTGGCTCGGACTGTGGAAGCCTGTTCTGTCCCTGAGGAGCTGTAGACTGGCCACAGCTGGCTGTGGGTGGAGGTAAGGTGTGCTGGGCTCCTGTACTGCCCGGTGCTGGCTGTGCCTTGCTCACGTGCCCGGGGCTCATCTGGTGGGCAGGTTGGCTGAGGAAGGAGTTTTTCTGGTGGGGGGGTTCAGTGGGGGCTGCCAGAGCCATTCCTGTCTCCCAGCTCGCAAAGCTCAGCCAGTCCTTGCTTTCCCAGGTGCTTTCTGACATGGCACAGGGGTGCCCCAGCCCCTCGTGCTGCCCAGTGCCCCGGGATTTGTCCTTCTCTGGTCAGACAGAGTCTGTGCCTGGTTTTGAGCGAACTGCTCGCTCAGGGAAGAAGTTGAATGAGTGTCCGTGCAGTTCCAAGAACCCTGTGAGTCAGGGCTCTGTTTCGGGAGCAGGCTTCCCTTCCCGGAAGGGCAGCAGAACACGGGCTGCACTGACTCATACAATGGGCTTTTTTTATTGAGACGGATATATATAGAGATACATATGTTTATTTCTCTCACAGAACGGTTCAGCTTCCAGAGCCCCGGTAACGGGAGCGTTCCTGCACAGGGAATCTCCCCCGTGCTGTGCAGAGGGAGGGGAGCAGAGCCCACCCCAGCCCGGGTGGGATAATGAGCCAGGGAAGGGCCACGGCTTCCCCTGTGCATTCCACGTTATCTTTGGGGATGGAACTGTGTCGGGAAGGCTGAGCTGGCCATGGGAGGAGGGACAGTGCAGACACGATGGGCCTGGTTTGGCGCTGAGGAGCAAAACAAAGTCCTGTGGCTGAAACTTTGAAGGACACTATGGCCAAAAAGTAACTTTTGCCTGATTAAGGGTCGTTCGTATTTTAAAATGCACGGCCTGCATAGGCTAATCAGCTTAATGAAGTACATGCTACCACATATGACTCTCACTCAACTCCCCAGGCAGGTCATGCTGTATGTGACACTGGAGGAGGAGGAGAAGGTTGGGCTGTGTATGAGGGGGGCAAAAAGTTCTCCTGGTGAGGAGGAAGAGCCAAAAGCCCTTGGGAGACAGTCAGTGGGAGACTTCCTCTCCCTGTTCCTAGGGTGGGATGATCCTGATCTCCAAGGACCAGCTGGGACACAAGGGGTGTGTTTTTGGCCAGATTTCATGCACTTAATGCAACAGGCTGCTTTCCTTGGGATGTGCCCTGCAAACATTCCCTGTAATCCCCCAGCCAGCGACTCCTCCGCAGGCCTGCCTGATCCAAGCTCCGCCTGCTCCCAGGAAAGCCCTTCCAATGGGAGCTGAGGCTCTGTCCCTGGGAGTGCTGATGACTCGGGTCTGAGCTGTCCCTGGCCAGGTTTGCCTGGGAAGGAGTGAGGCAACACTGGGACCTGCCTTCCCGTGCAGGAAGCTGGGCCGTGCTCCATCTACTGTTGTGTTCATGGAGGGTTTCTGCTCATGTCCCACACAGCTTCCCAGGAGCTGGGATTTGCTGTGAGCCAGGCTTAAACGTGAGCTTGGGTTAATCCTCACTGATAAATACTGCCCAGTGTGGTATTGGGGTGGGAGAAGATGCAGCCTGATGTTGCTCATGTGATTCCCTGTGAAGGCTGCACAGAGAGGGAACAGAGTGTGACAAAACCCTCTGGGCCAGGTCTCCAGCTCCGTCCCAAGTGCATTACTGTGGTCAGAATAACCCAGAACCGCAGCATCAAGTGCCTCTTGTTTCCTATTGCAGAGTCCTCGACCTTTTGCCCATCCAACCTTCTCCGAGGTGATGACTCCTGTCTCCTGAGACGTTGGAAAACCTAGTTTGGAGGAGGAGTAACGATACAGTTGATGCTGAACTACGTGAGTCGCTGTTTACAGTAACTCTCCTTGCGCCAGCGATTGCACAACGGGTCTATCCCAGAGTTCCTGTGCGGGGGGGTTCTCCAGTGGAAATGTTACTCACTTGTTTCCAGCAGAGATGACGATGTAGGAGGAGGGGAGGAGTTTATAAGGCACATCACATGTTGGGTCAGGGATGTGAAGGGAACAAGGAGCCTGTGGGG